GATTCCCCTGACTATTCTTGGGCATTTGCATTTCTGTGTTTTTTTAAAAAGTTGCATGGTGTTGAGAGTTGAACCCAGAGCCTTGCACGTACTAGGTACGTGCTCTACATCCCCAGCTTTTTTTTTTTTTTTTTTGAGACAGGATCTCACTAAGTTGCCTGGGTTGGGCTGAACTTATGATCCTCCTGCCACAGCCTCCTAAGTAGCTGGGGTTATAGGCAGGTACCACCATGCCCTGTGCAGTGTGGGGTTTTTTTGGTACCGGGGATTGAACTTGGGTCCTTAGCTTTTGAGGCAGGCGGTGGAACCACTGAGCTAAATCCCCAGCCCAAAGGGCCAAGAGGAAGTGATAGTGTTTGTACTGCAGTTATACAAATGAAGTGACAGAAAGATAGCAACTGCTTCTCAATTATCACTGAAAGTCTGATTTAGAGGTTCACTGCAGTTCAGGTATTTTCCTTTCTTTTCTTTTCTTTTTTTTTTTTGGTACTGGGGATCGAACTTGGGACCTTGAGCTTTCAAGGCAGGCTCCGGAACCACTGAGCTAAATTCCCAGCCCCCAGTCTGGGTTTTGACGGATGATCTGGCTGTCTGAGACTTGGAACAAAGTGGGTTTCCTCTTGCAGCATGGCCTCGGTTTCAGCCCCTCACTCAGCACCCACTTGCACGTCCTCGGCGCTGCATGTCTGTCTGGACGCACTAGCCTTTGACACAGGCACATTGCTCTCTGTGTTTCTTCCTATCTTGGTTTTTTCAGTTCTTTGTTCCAATAAAGTGTTTTCTGCCCCATCCTACAGTCCCACCCTGCATACATGCCCTGCACCCACAGCAGCCCTGTGAGCCAGGCACACCAGCTCTTCTGTGTCTCTGGCAGGCTGGGAATGGGCAATGTCCTTGCTGGTGTAGCAGGTTGCTCCTGGAGGCCGCCTCAGGTGTGTGAGTGGCCAGCCTGTTGAGGTGTGGGCTGCATCCACTGCATGTCACTAGCTTGCCCTGGGCCCAGGCTTCAGCCTGCCCTGGAGACGGGGTCTTGCCAACAGGGGACCCCTTCCATCACCCTACTCCTCTCCTCTCAGGTGTCCCCAGGTGTCATTGCCAACCCCTTTGCGGCAGGAATCAGCCACCGGAACAGCCTGGAAAGCATCTCGTCCATCGACCGGGAGCTAAGTCCTGAGGGCCCAGGCAAGGTCAGGACCAGCTGTAGCTGGCAGCCCCAGTCCCAGAGCCTGCGGTGCGGGTCCTGATTGAGTCTGCTTTGCTCACAGGAGAAGGAGCTGCCTAGTCAGACCCTGCCCTGGGGTCCTGAGGCTGCAGAGGCCACAGTGAGTCCTACACAGCCTGGTTAAGTGCCCTGGGCTGCCCCTTTCCATTGGAGCACTGTAGGAGTGAAAACAACTGTGAGGCAGCAGGGGCCATGTCCCTGGCACATACAGCCTCTGCCAGCATTGTGTCTGCTCTACCCCCCAGGTTCAGAGTCCAGAGCCCCTGAAACTGGACTACCGTGCCCTAGCCGCTGTTCCCAGCACTGGCAGCATGCAGAGGGTCAGTGTTAAGTGTGTACTGCATTGCACCCCCTGCCCTAGCTACCTGTTCACCTGCCTATTGGTTTCCTTTGCCTTAACTCCCTCCCTTCACCTGGGGGGCTACTACCAGCCAGACAAGTACCATAACAACCATGAAGGAAACCTTTGAGGTGGGGGCCTAGGGTGGATTACAGGAGGCTACCTTGGGCCAGCAGTTGCCCTGTGGGAGCTCAACCTCCTAACCTGGCAATATCTTCTACCTTTGATGTGTGCCCTTAACCATGCAAGGCAGGTGCTGTTGTCCCCTTTCGTAGCTGAGGGCATAAGGTACAGAGGGAGTCCTTTGAACACCCCTGTCCTCTTCCACTCCCCTCGTCTTCACCAAGCAGCTGGGTATGGGTGACCCCGAGCTCAGCCTGTGGCAGGCAGAGAGGCTCTTGGTGGAGACAGGGCAGCTGGAGGTTACAGAGCTATCCAGGGTTTCTGGTGGGACTGGTATGCATGAGATGCTGGGGGAGGCTGTGCAGGGCCATGGGGGAGGGGGCTGTATAACAGTAGGGGCTGGGGCTGGGGCTGGGCATGACTCGAAAACGGTTGTGGGCCTGGGGTCAGGCAGGAAGGACATTCAGTTCTCATTCCTTCCCAAAGGATATACATAGCCCACTGGGAGACCTGCAGGACTGGAGTGCTTGGGTTGGGGGAGGTTGGCCAGGATGCTGCCCAAGTAGTGGAGGACACTGGAGAGACAGGTAGGGCCTAGGGGGTGAGGGAGCCTGTTTAGGGGCTTTTGGACACTGATGCTCCTCTGCTACAAACAACCCCAATAGGGAAGCCCTCAGGAGGGACAGGAGCCCAGCATCCTGTAATGGAGGAGGGGCACAGCTGTGGGCAATTGGCATAGTTCAGCCAGCCAAGGAGCTCCTATGCTGCCTGCTGCCTGCTCCCCCACACATCCCTCCAGTTCTTCCTTAGGGAATAGAGCCTTGCCTGGTCCTCCCCCTACCCACTGTCTGGCTTTTTCAGGTACCATCTGGGGCAACCGGAGGGAAGATGACCTCGGCCCCCTGCTCCCCCAGTGGCCAGCAGGTGAGCATCCCCATCATAGGTGCCGCACAGGGCCTGCAGTTGGTGCTGGTGTGCAGATCCCCTAGGAAGGTGCTGTCAGGAAACCTTGCCTCCTTTGTGGGGACATCTTCCTGACCAGAGCTGATCTCTGAGGGGAGGGTACAGCTCTTGGGCTTGTGTACCTAGAGGGGCTCGGCCCTTGGGCTGCTTGCACTGGTGTCCTAGCCCTGCTTACTGCATGGGGAGGGCCAGGCCATGGGACCCCTGCTGTGCACTGCAGTGTGGGGTGCACGTAAGGGCTCCCCCAGAGTCCAGCTCCCAGACTCAGCCTCTCAAACGTAGAGGCATTCGGTGAGTGTTCACCCTACCCCTGCTACCCATCTTGGCTCCATCTCTCTCTCTGTCCCTCCCTCTTCCTTCCCTCTTTCTCTTTCCCCCCATCCCTCCCACCCCTTTCCTGGACCTCTGACCCCGCCCTCCTCTGGCTCCCACCCCTGCCCTTTGCAGACAAAACCGGGGGTGATCCAGCCATTGGCTCAGGCCTGGCCAAGGGGCTCCCCGACCCCTAGGGGCAGAGGTGGTCCCTGCTCCGTGAGTGCCCTGTCCCACAGGGGGTAGGGGTTTCAAAGCTTCCTTCCTGGCAGGAAGGTGGCCGGGGGTTGGAAATCGGTGTGGACAGCTGGTGGTTGGGTGGGTGCCTACAGCAAGGACAGCTGCCCTAGCCCAGCTCATGAGAACTCTGTCCGCCAGCCACCCTCCCCAGATGAACTGCCAGCCAACGTGAAGCAGGCCTATAGGGCCTTTGCGGCAGTGCCCACTGCACACCCTCCTGAGGACGGTGCTACCCAGGTGTGTAGGGAGCAGTGCTCTTCTGCCACGCATGCAGTGTGGGTAGGTGACCCAGCTGGTGCCCCAGAGGGAACAGCCACCAAGTCTCAGGGCCCTCTTTTCCCCAGCCCCCTGGACCAGGGCCAGCGGCCTCCCCTGAGCAGCTGTCGTTCCGTGAGCGGCAGAAGTACTTTGAGCTGGAAGTGCGGGTGCCCCAGGCTGAGGGCCCCCCAAAACGTGTGTCTCTAGTGGGTGCTGATGACCTTCGGAAGATGCAGGAGGAGGAAGGTGAGGAGTGCAGCAGTGGGAAGGGCCCAAGTGCAACTGCCTGGCCTGGCCTGACCCGACCCGCCCATCTCCCACAGCCCGCAAGCTGCAGCAGAAGAGGGCACAGATGCTACGGGAGGAGGCTGCAGCCATGGGGCCCAACGTGGGCCTTCCCCTGGATGGGGAGGCCCTGGATGAGGAGCAGCAGGAGGAGGAGCCACCCTGGGCCGCCCCAAGCCCTGCAGGAGGGTGAGGGTAGCACCACACCCCCAGCCTTGCCCAGTGCAGGCCCTTGCCTACAAGAAGCCTTGTCCCCTTCCCCACATCTAGCCCAGCATCACCCCCACCCATGGTGGGCGGTGCTCCTGTTCGGACAGCCAAAGCCGAGAGGCGCCATCAGGAGAGGCTGCGCATGCAGAGCCCAGAGCTGGCTGTGCCTGAGCGGGCACTGTCCCCTGCAGAGCGTCGGGCCCTAGAGGCTGAGAAGCGGGCACTGTGGAGGGCAGCTAGGTAAGCCCAGGCCCTTCCCGCCCCTCCCCACCACATTGAGGGCCCAGCTTTGCCCACCCACTGCTTCCTGCAGGATGAAGTCTCTGGAGCAGGATGCCCTTCGAGCACAGATGGTTCTCAGCAAGTCCCAGGAAGGCAGGAGCAAGCGAGGGCCCCTAGAGCGTCTAGCTGAAGCCCCATCACCTGCTCCCACCCCATCACCCACCCCCTTGGAAGGTATGTGTATCGAGGGGGAAGGGGAGGGCTCAGCCTGCCAGGTAGGCCTCTCCCAACACTAGCTTCTTATCCCTCCAGACCTCAACTTCCAGACCAGCACCTCGCCCGGACGCCTGGTGAGGAGCCAGAGGCTGTCACTTTCCCCTGCACCCCCCGGCACAGGGGAGGGGGTCCAGACTGCCCCCACCCACTGTCCTCACCTCTCCCTCGAACTGTGTGTGCCTCTTTTCCCCTCACGCTGTCCTTTCAAGCCTTTGTCTGGAAAGAAGTTTGACTACAGGGCATTTGCCGCCCTCCCTTCTTCCAGGCCTGTCTATGACATCCAGGTACTGGTGCCTCCAGGCCTTTCTTCTGCATGAACATGTGCATGGGCCCGGTTGCAGCTCCTGTACCACCCTTCTGTCCCCTCCCTTTCTGTGTGCTTCTGTGCCCTGTTCCTCTGGTGTGGGGTTTTCCCACCTGCCTGCCATTTCAGCCCAGTTCTGTGAGCCTCAGAGCCCAAGAACCAGCCAAGTCCATGTGGGTGGTTTCAGGCAGGTCTGGGATTGGCCCTGACCAGCCCTTCTCTCCATTGCAGTCGCCAGACTTTGTGGAGGAGCTGAGGTCCTTGGAACCATCTCCCAGCCCTGGTGAGTTGGCACCTAGCTGGGTTAAGTAAGCTCCACAGTTCCTTGGCCATACTGGACTCATGGTGTCCCTGGCCCTGGCCCTGTCCCCAGGCCCACAGGAAGAGGATGGAGAGGTGGCCCTGGTGCTCCTGGGAAGGCCCTCACCAGGTGCCATGGGCCCTGAAGACGTGACGCTGTGCAGCAGCCGCCGAGCCATGCGGCCTGGGCGCCGCGGCCTGGGCCCTGTGCCCTCCTAGGGAGCTGTGCCTCCCCGGACTTGGGGTGGGGTTGCTGCCAGCTCCAATACTGCCCTTGCCCCGAGTCTTTTAACCTGGGTGTTAGCATTTTGAAGAGACCCCTCAGGAGTTCTGGCTCTAACTCCCGCCCCCTCCCAAGCCAGGATCTCTTGGCAAGACTGTAACTAGTGATGTTTGTACAACCAAAGACTCTATTTTGTGGTTTAAGGAGAATAAAGTTGACTACGTTTTACCCTGTCTGTCCATCCATTGGTTCCACCAGGCTGGCTCCCAATCTTTGGCCTTTCCCTAGCAGGGTTCCCCTGCCAGGCCCTGGGATCCAATATCTAGTAGTCAGGGTCTGGACTGGTGCAGTCAGGGATGCAGTGTGTGCTTTATTGGGGGCAGCACTAGAGACCTCTGCTGGGCAGCTGCACAGGGAGCAGGACTTGGAGTTGCTCAGTTGGCAGCCACTGCACCTGGGTGACAAAAAAAGAGGCGGAATTGCTCCAGGCGCGCCTCCTGGAACTGGGCAGGATCATAACTCTGCCCCATCAGTGGGCCGCAGCAGTGACAGGTACCGCTCTTGTGCTAGGAGCCCATGGCTCAGCAGTGCCTGAGCCAGGCCTGGCTGCACGGCCTCCAGCTGCCGCTTCACCACAGGAAACAGGTCCACCTCTCGAAAGTCAAACACCAGCAGCTTCCCATACCTGCAAGCACTGCCAGTGAGCATAAGGTGGAGCCTGGAGCCCCTGTCTGCCCAGCACCCTGCCCAGTACCCTGCCCATCCTACCTCAGTGCCCCCAGCAGCGCCATCCGGATAGTCTCAGGTGCTCTGGGTTCATGGTATCTGTATAGTTGGTGTCCTGGTAGCGCAGGAAGGTGGCTGCTTGGCCTGAAGGGTCTATGACAAGAGGCCACCTGGGGGAGGCCGCCAGGTCACCGCTGGACACAGCCATCCCAGACTCACCTGGGCCGAGCCTGAGTGCTGACCTGCTGTCAGCACTAATGCAGTTGCCCACATCCTTCATCAGCATGTCGTGGAGCTCGGTGACCTGGCACTTCAGCCCTGGAGCCTCCTCTTCCTCTGTGAGGATGTTAGGATAATGCCCTTGGGAGCTCCCAATCCAGACCCCTCTCCCCCGGCCTCACCACCCTCCACCCCCAGCAGAAGCCCCACTCATCCTCCTGGCTCTGCTGCCGAAGCTCCAGCTGGGCCATGGCCAGCATCTCCTCAGTCTTATGTGCCTCCTGCCGCAACCTGGCCACGTGGGCCTCTATCCTTGATGGCCTGGGGGGAGGTCCACACTGTCACCTTCCCTTCCCCCTTCTTGGCTCAGGGCCACTGCCTTAGGCTTTACCCATCTCCCATGGTGATCTGGGTACTGGCCCCAAGTTCCAGGGCAAAGATCCCAGCAATACTGGGCCTGGCAGGGGAAGCCCTGGGCAGGTGTAGGACAAGGAGAGTACAGGAGGCAGGGCACAGCTCAGGAGTAGCCACACCTGCAGTGTGAGCTCAGCCTTGCCCGGGCACTTCTGCTGGCACCTGTCATGCTCTGAGATCCTCTGATGGAGTTCACAATAGGCCTGCTGTAGCTGGGGGTGATGGGGAAAGAAGAGGTGCTAACATCAGCCTGCCTTTTGAGGTGACCCCTCTGCCCCCTCCACCATTCCTCCTTGCTTACCGCCTCGTGACATTGCTGCTGCTCCCTGGCCAGCTGCTGCACTTTGAGGGCCAAGCTGCAAGGGAGGGAAGGGCAGTCAAAGGATGCCCTCTCCTGGTGCCCAGTAGTGCCCCCACTGCCCCTCAGCACATACCAGTTAGTCTCTGCAGCCTGCTGCTGCTGGGCTTCCTGGGCCTGGCACTGCCACTCAGCCTCCATGTTCTGCAGCATGGCTTCAGTGAGGCTGAGGTCCCAGGACTGTAGCACACTGGCCACTGCATCCAGGGAGGCCACCTAGTGATAGGAACACATGCATAGTGAGGGTTCTGCTCCATCTGGGAAGGAAGTACTTCTCCACTATTTAGAGAAAAGGTCATGGTGGTCCAAAAAAGTGACAGTGCCGACAGCTGGTCTCTGATGGGCATGTGGTACAACTGCCCCAAAGCCAACACCAGAGAGGGGCCTCCGGGACTCCCTGCCCAAGGCCAGGAAGGCCCATGTCCTGTGGTAGAGCCACCCCACATCCCCTCCCCAGCCCCCAGGGTCCCCACCTCCATTCTCTGTCAGTAAAGTGCACCCCTGAGGCCTGGCCCTCCTGAAGCTGCCTTCTTCTGTGGTCCCCTTGCAGGACACAGGTCCCCCCCCACACACATTCCAGGCTTCCCTTCCTCAGCCCCCCAGGAGCTATAGGAGTAGATACATTCCTGGGGCTCAGAGCCAGTTGCTCTTGTGCCTGGCTCTCCAAATCTGTGGAGCAAACTGGTGCATACGGAGCACAAGTCTCCCTTATGGTGCCAATCCCAGCCTCACTTTTGGCAGGAAGCTGTAATGAATGACTCTGAGTCCTGTAGGGTGCCTGCTGTCCAGAGGGGAAGATATGGCCAGCTGCCTACTAGGAGGGGTGAGGTGGTAGGCTACAAACAACAGAAGAATCGGATGCATACAATCCTACCAGCCAAAGATGCAGGGGCAGCCAGGCATGGTAGCGTATGCGTGTAATCCCAGCACTCAGGAGGAGGCTGAGGCAGGAGGGTTGTCATGAGTTCAAGCCTGAACTACATAGCAAGACCCTGTCTCAAACAAACAAACAAACAACAACAAAACACAGATGCAGGGGCAGCTGAGCAGCCAGGCCAGTGGATGGCAAAGGTAGGGCAGGCTCACTGCAAGTTCTTGTTATGGAAAGTACAGAGATGCAGTGGGGTGGGGGCAAGTATCCTGCAGGGAGAGGTGGCCAGGAAGCCTGAGTCAGGCCACAAGGCCGAGGGGAGCCCCTAAGGGTACCTGAAAGTGGGCAGATGCAAAGATTTCACAGTTGTGAAAGGAGGGAAAGCAATCGGTGAGAAGACAGAAATGGGTAATACAGAGGGCCCCAGACCTGCCATCCCAGAGGCCTGGCAGACTTGCATCGTACACAGACCCTAGAGGCAGAAAGGAGAGAAGGGGCCTTCTGTAGGGCTACTGGGGACATGCTGACACATGGAATGTCATCTCTCTGGCCCCCACACATTGATGGGTTAAAGACAGCCCCAGTCATTGGGTCCTATGTTCCTTTCAGAGCAGCCAAGATATTAGCTCAAAGCCTCCCCCAGGGCCAAACTCAAGTATTTACACACCAGCTCAATACAGGCAAAATAAGCATTTTAGACATTTAGAGATGGCCTGCTTTGCATGCCCTGCAAAATTATACCCACTGGTAAGATCAGCCCCGCTGTTTCTTGGGCCCCCCGCCCACAGCTGCCCTTCAGAGCTCTCTGACTTGTTACTTGCTGCTGAGCAGCTCTTATGGGCACTGGGCCCCCTGACTTTGTCCCACTGCTGCCTGAATAAAACTCACCAGGTTCCACTGCCACCCCTTGACTGGTCCCCAAGCCCTGCAATTATTCCCCATGGCCTCATCCCTCATTCCCCTGCAACCACAAGACCTTCCACTACCACCCTCCATGTGGGACCAGCTCAGACATTTACAGCACAAGTGGGCTCCAAATCTCTTTGTAGGTGACCTTGGGGAGCCAGGCCCACCCTGGATACCTTTCTTAAAATTCCAGTCATAAGCCTGGTGTGGTAGCACAGGCCTATAATCCCAGCATTTGGGAGGCTGAGGAAGGAGGATTGCCATTAAGTTTGATGCCAACCTGAACTACATAGCAAGACCCTGTCTCAAATAAAACAAAACAAACAAAAAATTCCAATCACAGCCCTTGGTTTGAGTCTAAACCAGTTAGCAAACCTATAACACAAGTACCACAGCTTGAAAGCTTTAAAGGTTCACCATCAGTGGTCTAAACCCTTTTCCCTGTTCCACTTTTCACATTCTCCATGGCACTGATCATACTGTGGACTAATGATCCCACTAGTGTGGGCTCTGTGACCAGAGGAACTTCATTTTGATCGAGGAAGTGCCCCCAGCACCAAGAACAGCTCCTAGCGCATACATCTTATTCGTCAGTCAGCTCAAGGGCTGGACACTGAAGGATTGAATGCATGGGTTATTGTACACCTGATTGTACTTACATATGAATAGGTAGCAAGAAACAGGAGAGATGTACATATGGACAGATTCATTGATAAATGAGTATATAGAGAAATGCACAGATGGATGGATGAATAAGTGAGTAGATGGATGACAGAAGGAATTTTAATAAGAGTGATCCAGAATTAGGCTCTTACAAAGACTTGAGCTCAGCCTCAGACCTCTCAAGCTGTAAAACTGGTAGGGTGACTCCAGACTGTGAGTGAAGTGAGTGAAGAAAGGTATTGTCTTGCTGGGCTTCAAATTATTTCTACAGATAAAACATATGACACAATAAAAAGGCACAGGAAAGGTAAAATAAATGGAACCTGTAGGACTACAGGTAACAGAAACAGATCTACTGGGTTGTCAGCTACAGATTTTTAAAATTTAAAGTTACTGTGTTCAAGGAGATGGAATACAAGATTGAGAATTTTGGCACAGAGTAGGAAGATTATACAAATACACTTACTGTATATACAGTATATATAACAAAGGAACTTTCTTGGAGATAATCAAAATTAAAAACAAAGTACATATTATTTAACAACTAGCTAAATGCACTGAAGAGAGAATTAGTGAACTAGAAGACAAATCATAAGAAAATATTCAGAATAAACTGAGACAAAGTGATGGAAAACAGAGGGGAAAAAGGTAAAAAACATGGTGGTCATTAGTACTGATCATCATCTACATCCCTCCCTTGACCTTCTACACAAGGCAAGATGACACTTTCTGACCAACTTGTGGTTTGGTGGAGCCAAATGATTAGGTCTAGCCAGTGAGCTGCAAGAACAAGCAAGTTGTGCCAGACCCTCCAAAGTGCTCCATCCCCCTGGTACAGTGACCAGCAATGCTCAGGACAGTGACTGCTCTGTTGGCCTTGATCCCTAAAAGACTACAATGACCAGAAGCCCCCTGCCAGCCCTCAATGAACATGCAGCATAAGAAATACACTTATTTAGTTTTAAGCCATCAAAGTTTGAAGATTGATTGCTTGATCCATAGGATATCCTAATTGACCCTGACAGGTATAAAAATATGGAGGCTGTGATGAGAAGGTCTGCTATATAAATATTTGTAGTATGAGAATAAAGGCAGAAATAATAAAAAGAAAATGGCCAGGAACTTTCCAAAACTCTCTAAAAGTGAGGTGAGGAGATTTGCTTTGCCTGGCACAAGGCTTCTTATTAGTGACCATGACCAAGACACCAGCATTTACATAAGGATAGACACAAAAACTGTGGGATGGAACTAGGACCCCAAATGGAGCTGCATATGCTATTTGATTCAGGATGCAGGTGGCCGTGTGGAGCAATGTGGAGAGTGCATTCTTCAAAATGTTCTTACGACAATTACTTGTACCTTCTTGTGAAAAATCAACAACTCACACAAAACAGAAATAAGGCACATTAGATTGTAGATCTAAATGGAAAGATCTAATGGACTGTGAAAGAAAATATCTTCATGTCTTGGGGAACGTAGACAAACTGATACCAGAGGTACCTGTTTTTGTGGTTTTCCAGTACTAGGTATTGAACCAAGGGCCCCACACATGTTAGGCCCACACCCTCCACCACTAAACTATAAGCCCAGCCCTATCTATCTATCTATCTATCTATCTATCTATTTATTTATTTTTATCTTTTGGTACTAGGGATCGAACTCCGGTCCTTGCCCTTTTTATTTTTTGAGACAGGGTCTCATTAAATTGCCCAGGATGGCCTTGAATTTGCAATTCTCTTGCCTCAGCCTCCCAAATAGCTGGGATTACAGTGTGCACCACTGCCACTGGCTTAGTTTTTTTTGTTGTTGTTGTTATTGTTGTTGTTGTTTTGGGCTTGGTTTAATATTTTAAGACTTCTAGTTTACCTTCTTTGTTGGCTTATTAGCTACAACTCTTGATATTGTAGTAGTTGGCTTAGGGTTTACAATATATAACATCACAATCTACCTCCAAATGATATTGTTTCACTTATAAATAAAGAACCTATGACAACACACTTCCATTTCCCACTCCCAGTCCTTGTGGTATAATCACACACTGACACTTTTATTTATGCAGTTTTCAATATGGAAACCTACACAGGTTATAAGACCACCAGCAAGCCAGGCATGGAGGTACATGCCTCTCAACACTCTGAGAGGCTGAGGGAGGAGATCAGAAGTTCAATCCCAGCCTGAGCAACTTAGTGAGACCCTGTCTCAAAAGAAAAAAGAAAAAAGTGTGGAGATGTAGCTCAGAGCAAAGGCCCTAAGTTAAATCCCCAATATGGCTAAGAAAAAAAAACAAAACATAGCACAATTGTCTGTGTTTTGTTTTGGTTTGGTTTTTTTGTTTGTTTGAGACAGTGTCTCACTATGTAGTTCAGGCTGACCCTGAACTCACTTCACTATGTAGCCAAGATTGGCCTCAAACTTGCAGTGATCCTCCTGCCTCAGCCTCCGGAATGCTGGGATTACACATGCACCACGCCCAGCTCACCTTCTTTTCATTTAGGATTCTTTCTTCTCTGTGTTTATTTTGCATATGTTGCAAATTTTCTATTGCTATGCCATTAAATTCACTATTATTTACCTCTACATTAATCCCATCCAAGGTTTTTTTTTTTTTTGGTACTGGGGATCAAACTCGGGGTCCTTGCGCTTGTGCAGCAGGTGGTGAAACCATTGAGCTAAATCCCCAGCCCTATCCAAGGTATTATTTCAAACATTATAATTATCTCTGTATGTGCATGCATGTGTTTGTGGTACTGGATTATCAGGGACAATCTACCACAGACCTACATCCCCAGGCTTTTCCCCCTTAGCCTTTTTAATCCCATCTGATATCACAGACTATTTTTCATCTCCAACACTGCAGTTTCCACCTCCCAGAAACCAGGAGCCTGTTCATGATGCAGATATAATAACCTTAACATCCCTGTCCACCAACTCTTATCTGTGTCATTTCTGACTCAGTTTTTATTGATCAACCTTTCTCTTTATTCTGTTATTTTTCATGTCTCTGATGTTTTTTGGGTTTTTTTTGGTACCGGAGATCGAACTCAGGTCCTTGCAATTGCTCAGCAGGCGGCGAAACCACTGAGCTAAATCCCTGGCCCCTCGTGTCTCTGAATACTTGGTAATTTTATTAAATTATTATTTGAAAGTAATTATAAGTTGAAAGGAAGTTGCAAAATAATATAGTATTCCTATGTACCTTTAGCAAGTGGCCCCCAGGAACAGCATCTTATCAATTCTACAACAATAAACAAAGCAAAATACTGACAGTAGAAAATCACTGGCGTCTCATTCTATTTCAACGTTACAGTACTCATCTGTGTGTGTGTGCTCGCTTGCTCTTGGGCACTGCACAACTGCATCACAGATTCAGAATTACCCCACCCCCAGGATCCCTCCTGCTCCTCCTTGCCAGTCACACCCATTTTTCTCTCCTTCCCTTTCCCCTGCAAACTACTAATCTGTTCTGCATCTCTATAATTTTGTCATCTTGAGAATGTTATGCAAATGAACTCATCTAGTTGGTAACTTCTGAGAGGGCTTTCTTGCTCACATACTTCCCTTGGAGAGCTCCCCAAGCTGTTCTGCCATCACTACCTCCTCGATGAGGGGCAGGTGGGCACGCCAGGACCAGGTGAGCCACAGCTGGTTTAACTATCCACCTGCTGGCGGGAATCTGGGATATTCCCAATAAAACTGCTTTGAATATTGTGTACATTTTTTTGAGGACACAGTTTCATTTTATTGGAATAAATACCTGTGACTGTAACTATTGAGACACATGCTAAATATATGTTCAGTTTTTAAGAAACTAGCAAACTATATGCCAGAGAAGTGTAACATTTTACATTCCTATGAGCAAGGTGAGATATCCAGGCTGTCTGCATCTTTGCCAGCACTGGGTATTGTCCCCATTTTCCTTTTTTGGCTATTGTCACACATGTCTGACAACGCTAAAAACCTCCTGAATTTATCTGCTCTTGTAACAGCCTCTTCTGTGAAATTTCTCTCCCAGTCCTTTGCTCATTTTATAACTCGATGTTATGTGTTTTGTTGTTGTTTATTTGTTTGTAGCCTTGTTGGGGACTGAACCCAGACCTACTCACTGAGCTACAACCCCAGTCCCTTTTTATTTTTTATTTGGAGATAGGGTCTCGATAAGTTGTCCAGGCTGGGTTTGAACACCACTCTTGCCTCAGTCTTCCAGAGTGCTGGGATTGCAGGTGTGTGCCACCATACCCAGCTAAATTTTCATTTTGATGAAGTCCAATTTATTGATTGTTTTTTCTTTTTGGATTGAGCTTTTGGTGTTGTATCTGAGAAGTTTTTACCATGCTCTAGGCCTCAAAGATTTTTGTCTTATGCATTCACCTAAAAGTTATATAGATTTACATTTTAATCTCTAGTCTATTTTGAGTTAATTTTCTATCAAGTGTGAGGTCCTGATCAAGGCTTACTTCCTGGCCTGTGGACATACAGTGTCACCCATACCCTGGGTTAAGAGAGCCATCCTTTCTGAGTTTTGTTTCCAACAGGCACCCCCTCCCTCTCCACAGCTCCCCATCCACCTGTCCCTTGACTGCCCACCAGCACCAGCTCTGTTGGGTCCTCTCTCCAGCACCCCTGTCGGCCCACTTGCACCCCCTAACTTCACAGAACCCACCACCACCAACACAGGAAGCCACTGGGCAGACCAGGTCAGTAATCCAGGCCCAGGGCAGTATCCACAGAAGGCCAGCCTGGGAGTGGCATCCAGAGCCGCAGGCTGGACAGAGCCCCTGGTGCCCCGCATTCCTGAATGTGGAAACAGGGTTTGCCAGGAGGCTGAGCCCATCCCGTATCCAGGTAGGCCTCAACTTTGGGGATGGGATCTGGAGTAGGGGGTGAGACTAGGGTTCCAACTGAGTTGACCTGAAGGAAAGGAAGGTAGAGGCATTTCCTAACTTGGCAGAATGAGCCTCCTGCACCCCCCCTGCCTTGGGAAGCCAGGCCGAGGCACACCTGCTCCCGTTCAGAGGAGCAGGGCTGGGGAGCAATGCCGGCGCGGGGAATGGGAGAGTCGGGCCCCTGGCCAAGCCCCTGCCCGGCCCCGGCCCTGCCCCGCCCCCAGGTCCTAGTGACTTCTGGAGACTGACACGACAAGCTGCTGCCCACGCCTGCGCGTTCCATACCTGCGCGGGGGTGCTCCCATCTTCCGCGTACACGCGGGTGTCTGCTCCGAGCTTCAGAAGCACCTCCACGGCTTCCAGGTGGCCCCCAAAGGCTGCCCGGTACAGCGGCGTCCGACCAAAGGCGCCCTGCGGGAGTGGCTCCTTGAGAGAGAGCCCAGGCCACAGGGAGCAGGCTGCCCGCGCCTCTCTCGTGTCCCCGGCTCGGGGAACCCACCTTGCTATTGGTGCTGGCGCCGAGCTCGGCCAGAAGCTGGATGGCCAGGGGCTGCCCACCCGCGGCTGCCTCCGACAGCGGCGTGTTCCCGTGGCTGTCCTCACACTCCACCATGGCCACGCGCCGCTGCAGCCTCCGGGCCGGCCAGCTTTGTCTTGGCCCACGCCATCGGGAGTCAGCAGCTGCTACACCTGCGCAGGCCACGGGCTCCAGGCCCGCCTCTCCTGGTCCCGCCCCTCTAAGGCCCCGCCCACCCCTGCGGCGCTGACCTCGTTCAGGACCGCCCGGATCTCGCCCAAATACGCGTCGAAGGCGGCGTCCAGGAGGCGGCGGCGGCGCTGCAGTTCCTCCAGCCGCTCACGCCTCGCCGCCTCCTCCTTCTCGCGCCGCCGCCGCCGGGCCGCTTCCTGCTCCTGGTGCCCCGAGGCCATACCTGCCAGGTTTGGCCAGAGGTCACTGTCCGCAGCCCTGGGGTTAAAGTCTGCAGCCCGAGGTCACTGTCCCCTCCAGCCCGGGGAGAGTAGCCTCCACCCCTACCCTGATTCATACATTCCCCCGCCTCGGGCCCGGTGGCTGCCCAGCGGCTCACCTCCCTCTGCAGCTTCTCCATCTGCTCCAGGTATACCTGGCGAGCCAGCTCCTTCCTTGCCAGGTGTTGCTGGAAGGCACAGTGGATGAGAGTGGCTGCTTGGTCCTCTACGCTTGGCCCTTGGTTGGGGAGAGGACTCACATGAACCCCAGGACTCACCTCCAAACCACCATCCTTACAGCTGCTGGGGCCCAGCTACGCCAGTGTGGCCCCATGGCGAAGCCCAACCGACCTCCATTGCTGCTTGACAAAGTTCCAGCTAGGGGAAAGAAAGGGTGGAACACATCGTACCCTCATATTTTATTTTTTCTTGCCATAATGTTTATAAGTGTTACTCTGATCACAGGAGTCACTGTGTTTGTGACTAACAACAAACTCTCCATGAGGCAAATTGGTAATGATATATTGAAATCTGATCTGGCTCACAAGTCCCAAATTCCAGTTTCTCTTAGTTCTATTGCCACATCCACTCCTAAAAAAACCTCTCCTAAAACCCCCTCTGTTTCCCCACTACTATAACTCCCCCTCTTATTGCTGACATTCTTTTTACTAAAGGGGTCTTATGAAGAGATTGGAAGGACAGACTTTAGATATAAGAAATAGTGGAAAATGGGAAATAGAAAGAACGTTAAGACAGGTAAATGCATTAAGGAGGCAAGTTACTCAATATTTCTCAAAGTGCTGTAAACATCTCCTGCTCATAGACTATGAACCCAAATGACATTTAGTTAAGATGAATAGAGGTAAAGAAAAATAGAGAGCTAATAGCAAACTATATTAACCATTGTGCAGTTTCTCAAGAGCCAGCTGGTGACCACAAGTTTGACACTTAATTGATTGACTCTTGCTTGTACCCCCGCTGATATAAAGATTTTGATTAAGTTACCTTCTGTTCTGCTTAGGTGTGGGTGAATAAGGGGACAATTGTAATTTTTAAATATATATTCATGACATTCAATGAAATGACACAGCTTAGAGGAATTGTACTTTGTTTAGCAAAAAATAACCTTTACTTCAATAGAAATTGCTAAGGCAATTTAAAATGTAAACATGTTCCGCCCAATGCCTCCCAGCTATTGCTTAAAGATATAAAAATAAATCAGACCCTGAGACTTCTCAGAGGGAACCTGAACATTGCTTGTGAAGGTTCTTTTCTCATCACTGGCCCAGGACATCTCCCCTTCCTACCCTACATCGACATCGACTGCAGCTGGTCTGTGGCACCCCCAGCTCCAGGTTAACCTGGTGGTGGGTCTTGCAAATCCCCCAAACTGTTCTCAAAATCCATGAACCTCAAGCCAGAATAATCCACCATCAAAGACCAAAGATGAAGGTTCTAGGGGTGGGAACCAAGGAAGAAGAAAGGATCTAGGTCTTGACAGGAAGTTTTCCACCTCCTGAGACCTTGGAAACCTCAACTAAGCCCATGTCTGTAAGGACAGACACTAAAAAAGTTGGTAGGAAACCAAACAGTAAAGGCTAAAACTGAGGTGGACTTTGTATTAGTCAGCTTTCCAATTAGGGACATAGTCCCTAATGGCCACAACTTACAGAAGGAGAAGTTTAATTTGGCTTAGGGTCTCAGGGGATTCAGTCCATGGTAAGATGGCTCTAAGGCAGGAACATCATGGCAGAAGGGGCATGGCAAAGCAAAGCTCCTTAGTTCAGGCAGACCAGGAGGCAGACCAGGGGAACAGTGCCAGAGAGGAAGGGATGAGGGACCAGATATAGTATCAAGGTCACACCTCCATGGCCCACCCAGACACAACCAGAGTGTGCTTTACTAATCTGCTATGCATTTCTTAATCCAATGAAGTTGACATATCAGGATTAAAGGTCACCGACTTGAAGTGGCAAATGCCAACTAAAACTCAGACTTTAGTTAAGGATTAAGAAAAGTAGAGAGCACCACCCCAATTGTTAAAAGGTCTGAGCAGGTCAAAGTGGGATCTGGTTGATTCTTTCACTGGACAAAATGGCATGACTCCCACAAAGCCTGATAAGCCTAAGTACCCGGAATGAATGAGAGGAGTCTTCACAAAAATGAGGGTTAGATCTGCTGGTAAATGAAACTGAAGAGAGTGACAGAGCCAAAAGAGGGCAGGGATAGGAAAAACTTTCCACAGAGAGAAAGCCCAGGAACAGGAAAGGTTAGACAAAGGACCTCCCTGAGGGCACAGAAATAAGCCCAGTTTCAGGGAAAGGGGACTTCCCCGGACCACGGGGAGACTAGAACCTAGAGGGGATATGACTATGTCCCCTTCTTCCATCTCTGCTCCACCACAGTCGTTTTGAGCAACTGGAACCACAGAGCCTGTCAGATTGGTAATTTACCACACAGTCCTCTTTATAGAAACAGAAAAAGCACTTAACGAATATCAACATTTTTATCAACAAATATCAACAGCATGGGGAACTGTCTTTCCTCTTGCAGTGGATATACTAGCATGCACCAGGTCACTGGGTCCCAGAGACATCACTGATATCTTAGAGCCCTGAAGGCCATCTCTAGCTCCTCCCACCAACAGTGTCTGAGCTGGAGAGTGCCTTGCCTACCCATTCTAATCAAGGCCTAGGGCATCCTGGGAAGTTCCCTGATGCTTCCTGCTGGGAAGGCACAAAATCAAGCCTGATTTATCGCTGTTCTGTGTGACATGCTGGAGCTTTAATCTTTGGTCAGGAGTGCCCAGAGCCATGAGGAGAGCTTTAAGTCCGCATTTTGTTGTCTACTTTTTCTTCTCAGATCTGGAGAGAAATGCATTAGCACCTGTGATGACTCATCTCAAACTTGATTGGCTTGAGAGATATCTAGCAGATTACTAAAGCACACTTTTGAGTGTGTCTGGGTGGGCATGACTTTGGGGACTGTATCTGATCCCTGCATAAAATCCAAAGGTCATAGAATAAAAGACTGGTGGATTTGGGCCAGGGATTTAGCTCAGTGGTTCCACCACCGCCCGCCTCACAAGCAGAAGGACCCAAGTTCGATCCCTGGTACCAAAAAAAAAAAAAAAAAGACTGGTGGATTTTAAAAATTGATATGGCTGGTTGCAGCTGATGTACCCTGTGGTTCCAGCTATTTGGAACACTGAGGCAACAGAAATGCTTGAGCCCAGGAGTTCAAGACCAGCCTGGGCAACATGGCAAGGTACTGTCTCAAAAAAAGAATAAAATAACAAAATGAAAAATAAATGAAGCCAGGCATGGTGGCACATGGCCATAATCCCAGAACTTGGGAGGCTGAAGCAGGAGGATTGCCATGAGTTCAAAGCCAACCTGGGCTACCTAGTGAGTTCAAAGCCAGCCTGAACTACATAGTGAGACTCTGTCTCAGAAAACAAACAAACAAAAAATTGCTGTAAGTATATGATAACTACAAAAGACTTACTTTAGAACAACAACAAAAAAACATAAAGAGGTTGAAGAGATAGAAAGCGAATAGTAGTGAAAACTACTATTATCAGACAAAATAAACTTTAAATCGAAAAAGTTTACTAGAGATAAAGGACATTATATAGCCATAAAAGATTCAATACTGTAAGAATATATACCAATAGCCAGGTGTGGCAGCATATGCCTGTAATCTCAGCACTTGGGAGGCAGAGGCAGGAGGAGCGCTGTGAGTTCAAGGCCAACCTGGACCACAAAGTGAGTTCAAGGCCAGCGTGAACTATAGTGAGACCCTGTCTAAAAAATATATATATATATACCAACTATAAATATGCATCTAATGATGGACCATAGAGTAAGTTGAGAGTAAGGAACACTTCCTAACTCATTCTATGAGATCAGATCCTAGAAGCAACACCCTTCTCCCTAGTCCACCAGGCTCACCCAAAAGTTCGTTTCCCCTGGGAGGCCTCCCTAACCTACTCCAGGTAGG